CACAATTAAAATAATCTCCCATATTATACACACACATATACACAAATTATATATATATATATATATATTCCCTCTAGGCTATAACATTTGACATTAATAATGTCACAATTCTAGAAAACAGTTAGGTAAAATCATAATCTCTTAAAAACTTGTACATCTTTTTAGTTGTACACTCATTAAATATTTTATACAAGATTCCTAATAACGATAATTAAAATTTTAATACATAATTTTTTTCAAAAAAATTAATAAATAAAATAGGAGTGTAGTTGAAAAAATAATTATAAAAACTACTAAATATCAAGTGTTTTAGACAAAGAAGGGTTTTTAAAAATATATTATACTGTGGTTTGCAGGGAGTTCACTCCCTTCACCCTTTATATACATTTCTCAACATTTTTTCATGTAGATTAAAAAAAATTATTAGATTGTCTTATTTTTAGAAAACTATTTTAATATTTCACTCATACCCTTATTAATTAAAAAGAACATCATCATGACTTGTTCAAGTTACAAAAGACCATTAAAATTATAGGAGTAAAATTAGGTATCTTGAAATTTAGACCAACTTTTATTTTTGAAAAGTACCTTGTAATATATAGGATCAGAGAGAAGATAAGTATGTTATATGATTTTATTTAAAATGTTTTTAAAATTTTCTGAAAAGTATATATAATTGTACATAATTTGGCATCTAATATTTCTAAATTATAAAATTAATTTTTTTGTTTTCTAAAAGTTAGCCCTTAACTATTAAAGTTAGTTCCGCCCCTGCACCTAACTTTCTTATTTCTTTTGGAAGAAATTTTGGCCTCATCTTCATGGAATAGGATTTAATTGGCCTTATAATTATATTATTAGAAAATACACTAAAACAAAAAAAAAAAGACTAGTTTATATAAATTATTTTACCTGAATTTTGTGATTTTTCAATGTTGGGTTATCAAAAGTTGGTTGATTTGAAACATGTCACCATCATGACTCTAGTTTTCATAATACCAATGTTAACCCAAATATAATAAGAAACTATGAAACCCATAAATAATTTCTTCTGAAGTACTCTCTGAAACAAAATATAGCATATTGCTTGATTATATATCTTCTATTATATATCGCCTGGAACATTAACTTCCAAATGCTTAAGAAAAGATTTAATCTCTTTAATTTTTCAAACATCAGAAATCGCCCAAGCTAACTTTCTACGAATCTAGTTCCAGAGAAAAAAAGAAAAAAAAATACTTTAAATCAGGTTTTTTAAACAGAAACTACATGTTCTAGAAACTAGTAGCCAAACACATACAAAGTAGAATTTAAAAAAGTCTTTTTTTTTGTACCGAAGTTAAAAAGATTGAATAGCGTTGAAGATTTCTCTCATGTAGAAACATTTGAATTAAAATGTTAGTCATCATCAAAACTAGTCGAAGAAGCTAAATTGTATGCCTTAATAGACTTAACTGCTGGTATATTCAGCTTCTTCAAAAGCTTCTCAACGTCAAGTTCTTTAGCAAATCCACCATCGCTAGTGGATGCCCTGGTAAGCACCAAATTAAAGACAAGAAGAAGCAGAACAACATACTCACTGCTATCCAAGTCTTTTCATTTTCGCCATTGAAGCAGAGAACCTAAACGAAAGTTCTTAAGTGGATATTCATCATAACTTGATCGTTCACAAATTTATAGGATCATTATGCTTTTCGCAAATTACTTGGCCATTAGTCTGCCTTTACTGTCACGGATCACCATAAACTATGATTTTAGACTTTATAATTTTAATTCAGCTAAAAACTTAGTCCTTAAATTATGATTTGATGCAACCTAGTTCCTATAACTTTTATTCAATTAAAACTTAATTCCCGAACTTTAACTCAAATTAATTCAGTTACTGTAATTTGTAAAATTTTAAGGGAGAATTATGTAGAAATCCTACACAAAGAAATTAATTACTACAAGATCCATTAACAACACATATGTCAATGGCTTTAGTTTAGATATTTATAGACTTTATAATAATTAATTTTCTTGTGTGAGACATGTATGTAATTCTCCCAATTTTAACTATTTAAAACATTGCTTTCTATATTTTAAAACATAAAATTATCAATACTAAAATTATTCCTTGAAACTTAAAAATTAATATTTTAAATTGCTAAAACTATATGAATTGAGTTGTGCTGAACAATTTTTTTTAAATGAGTTTACCTAATTAAAGTTGTAGGAATCAAGTTGCACTAAATTAAAATATACAGAATAAATTAAAATTTAAACCCAATTCTTCCTACTTTCGATATCAAGTTCTTCCAGCACAATAAAGATAAAATTTATATTTAGTAAAAAAAATAGTTAACAAAAAAATCATATATATATATATATATATCATTACCAAAAATAATTTACTCATGAATGATGATAAGTGAAGTGGAGGAAACTCGATTCCCATTTAGATTATGCTTGAACTCAAGGCCTGGCCAGGTCATAATGAGCTCTGAAATTAAGTCACCATTTTTTTCAATAAAAAAAAGACTAAAGTTATATTCAACACATTCAAATCTAATTAGATATATAGTATAGAATCTCATATAAATGTATTGAAAGAAAAAGAAATAATTTACTTAAGAAAATGAAAAGAAAAGAGCTGGGAAAGTTTGTTGATGTTGATAACCTCTAGAATTTCATGACATTTAAGAATATTTTCCTTAGATTCTAATAAATTTTGGCTCAATTGTATATATTTTGATTGCTCAAATTAGAAAAATGTGTATCTTTCTTTGGGTTTGCACATTTGTTTTTAATTCAATACTTTTGAGCTAATTTTGTGTCATTTTGGTTTAACATTTAATTAGATGCATTTTTAGGCCTTTGTTGATACTTTTGATAATGAAGAAATCATATGCAAAAAAGAGTTGTCACATTAATTGGATAAGAGTGCAAAACTGTTCAAAGTCATCGTAAAGTTGCAACTTTTGCCACTATTAGAAAAATGCTATGTTTTATTAATTGAAATTGATTGGGTAGGACACTTATATGCTGCTAGCTTGACCCAAAACACATTCTTCATACCTTGAGCCTCCATTAGGAGCTTTGTATGCTAGGGTTTTAGAGTTAGAAGAGCTTGGAGCAAGGGAATGAAGATTTGAATACATTTGAAGCTTCATTCTCTTGATTTTCCTATTTCTTCTCCTGTTCTCTCTTCTAATCTAACATGAGTTCAAATATTTTGTGTATTTATAACTTGTGGATGATTATGAGTAGTTAGACACTTTGTTCTAGAATTATTTGGAACCCTTGTATGGATTAACACTAATTTTCTCATCTCTTTTTGTGATTAATGATATATATGTATTTATTTTACTCTTCTCTTAATATTTCTAAGGGTGTGTTTGATTGGAGGGGGGGAAGGGGAGGGGCTCCCCTCCCCTCCCCTCATTTGGTTAGGAGGAGGGGAGCCCCTTCCCTCCCCTGCCCTCCTTTGATTAGGAGGAGGGGAGGGGAAATTTTTAAAATTTTCCCTCCCCTCTCCTCCAAAACCTCCCTTCCAAATTGGGGAGGAGCTCCCCTCCCCTCCCCTTCCCCTCCTCCCCCTCCCCTTCCCTTCCCTCCTCTCCCCTCACCTCCCCTTCCCTCCCCTCCCCTTCCCTTGAATCAAATATACCCTAAGAGATTAGCCACCATTTAAATGTTGGGTTCACTTGAGTGATGCTTAAAAGGGTTAGATTGAGTGTAAAACTTGGATAAAATAGTGCAAGAACTTGAATTTGTATGTTGAACGGATGATTTTGTTAGTAAGATAGAGATATATTTGCTACCCTTGCATAACCACATTAGGATTTGAGTTTAAAAGTGAGTTTTATTAATTTTAACAAGAGATTGAGCAATTAATTTAATTAAATACTAGTTCATGACTTGAGAAAGCTTGTTCAAGTATTTTTAAAACTCTAGAGTAGTACTTATTTTCATTAAAAACATTTATAAGAGAAGGTAATTTTGATGTTATGAGATGTAAGGGGGATAAATAATCTTATGTTTCATTTTGTGCTTGAAGTTTGAGAATCATTTGCTTTTCTTTATTTTCAAGTTTTAATCTTATTTTCAAAATCAGTTTTATCCAACCAATTGTATTTCGCTTAACTTGATTGAAATTGCAAAATCTTTTGCTTGACCATATTTTTAATACAAATATATCTTCATGGGAATGATACTCTACTCACTTTTTATTACTTGGTATTATCTGTGCACTTGCAAAGTGCAACAAAGGTTGAGAGAGAAATGAGAGAATTGTATTGGTCATGGTAAACTAAGATGATAAGAAAACAATATATTTAATTAATATCTATCAATCCTTTTAGACTTCTATACATTTCATATTCTAGTAGTGTTTTGCGCTTATATTTCAGATTTTGTTTTTAATAAATTCTGCATTCAAGTGCCTTGGTGTGGGGACAAAATTTCACATCGGATAGAGTTGGGTTAGAAAAAAGGCATGTAAGTGAAAAAGATTAATAAACTCAATGTTGTAAAGTTTTGGATTAAAATGTGATATCGTTCTTATTTATTTGTGTTTTTTTGCAACCATTGGGTAGCCCAACTCTGTTCTCGTCTCTTCCAAGATGCTTCCTAGACCCAACATATATGCCACTTTCTAGTGGCTCTTCACTTAATCACATTATATATATATATATATATATATATATATTCTGCATTTTATGCAACATTTAATTACAGCAATTGTTTGTTAAAGGAAATATGTTTTCCTCCACAATTATATCGTGCAACATAATCTAACATTGCATAATATCACACTATATAATATTTCAACCTTATTAAGACTTGTTTTATCAAGACTCATCTTGTACAATATCCCATCAGGCTAGGGAATTCTACCCATATCACAATTCCTTTATTTCCTTGATATAAATAAATAGTTTTGTGCCTTTTAAATAAAGTCCTCATATTTTTTTTGTTCCATCATATATTCGCCACCCACCAAGATTACATCATAAGGGCTAAGGACAGTTTTGGTTTCTCCCAGGACCGCCATAGTAGAAGTAGACACCCCAATCATGAGAATAGCCATAAAAAGTAATATTGTAGCAATTGGGATTGGTAACAGAAATGTTAGGGTTTGTAGGAGAGACAAGATTATTATTTGCATCAACAATAGAAAGCTCCTTGAAAAAGCTAGCCTTCCCATAACCTTCTTCAGGAAAATAGCCACTTCCCATGCCTGTTGTGGTATGTTGCCCATCAGATCTCAGGTTTATTATTTCACCGCCCCACTTTACATTTGATGCACTCTCAGACATGCGATTGACTAAAGAAGCTGGCCAATATCCTGTAGATGTATCCCCAACTTGCATCCACCAGTTTCCAGTTTCGGGATCCTGCTCAATCATCATCATCATCATCATTGTTATCTTTTGTTGTTGTTGTTGTCATAATATTTTACCTAATAGCCGGATCATATGACTCTGTGCCGTTAGGGATTCCTTGAAGTTTATTAATTGGTGATTTCAATTGTTTGGATTTCACAAGGAATATATGTTCTTGCAAAAGAAAGAAAGAAAGAATTAATATCCAGTTTTTTAATGGTTAAGTTGTAATTGTGTTATAAAGTGTAGGGACCAATGAATTGAATACATAAGTCACACCTAAGGTATTCAAAATCGATCTAAACTAATTACACCAAGATAAATAGAACCAAACTAATATAAACTAATTATAAATAAAGACTAGTTCATTTTTTTTGTCAAAATCTATTGGTCTAGTTCGATTTAGGTTTTTATCTCTTGAACCAAACTAGACCAAGCTTTATTATAATTATTTTATATATTTTTATAAATTTTTCTAAATTTTTTTCTTCCCAAATTTAGTTATTTATAAATCACTAGTAAAAAATATGTTACAATTAGTTTAATATTCTCTATAATTTTTTATGATAATTTTAAAATTGTATAATCAAGTGTTTTAAGGGTAACATATTACTATTAAGTTTTAATATTTAAATGTGCTAAATAATTGTTAAAAAATATTATTTTGTTCTCAAGAGATTTCTTTCATTGAAAATACTAATTAATAGTTAAAAATTAATAGTAAATATTCATATATATTGATTATGAAAAATATCTAAAAAAAACTCAAACTTGACCAAAGCCTAAGCCAAACCAAATCAAATCAAACCACTCAAAAAACCAAACCAAATTAATTAAAAGAAAAACCAAATAGGTCCCAAGCTTTGGAGAACCAATTGATTTGGTTCAGTTTGATTTTTCTTCAAAATCAAACCTATGAACACCCTTAGTCACACCAAGTTAAACTTTAAGCAAGAATGAGTCATAACCTAGTTAATACCTTCCAGATTAAGATGGATAATTCATTTTGAGAACCATCATAGACAGATAGTTCTAGGCTGCTTGTCACCGCTACTTTTTTATCAACTAGAACAAAGCCAGGCTGGCAATTGAGGTTATAACATTGAGTCTGATATGAGTCATTCTGTGGAATGAAAAAGGAATGTATTAAAAATTAATATAACAATAATTAACAACACAAATACAATGGTTTGAGGAAAACAAGAAATTATATGTTGGTAAGAAATTTGAACTTACTGTCCAGAATGTAAAAAGTCTAGGGTTGTCATCCCCATATATTTGTCGAGAGATCTAATTTTCCTGAAACAGTAAATCAAGGAATTAAATATACAAAAAGTTGTATTTTTTGAAAGAATGTATAAAAACGTACTCATCCATCAGGCGTACATGTGACTTGAAAGAAATTATAGAATACCTGCCAACCAGCTTCGATGGTCTCAACATTAATCGGATCATCATCATTCACAATCCAAATTTGAGAGAGACTAAATTCATTGGATTCTTGAACAAGGGACTTCCAAATGTTTATAGATGCATGGCCTCCATAATACCTATCTCCCCTCAAATCAGCTACAGCATACTAGAGGCATTGAACAAACAACGAAACGAGGAAAAAAAAATATTTAGTATGGAAAACACAAAAACAAGCATTTAAAAAAAAGAAGAAGCAAATTACAACCTATATTTCAAGATATTGATAACACTATATATATATATATTGAAAATAGTAGTACCTCTCATGACCAAAAAAAAAAAAAACAAATAGTAGTACCTCGTGGCCTTCCGTGGAGTATAATGATCTTCTTTTACTATATTGTTTGATAGAATCTGCCCTCATTACGTCATCTTCTGTTGTTCTTCTTAGACGAACGGTTCCTTTTGGACAATTTCCACTTTGGTACCACATTTGAGCAATAGGGTTTGATTTTGAAAAATTGGTTGCTTTTGGATGAAATGTTGGCCTCATCTTCATGGAATAGCACATAATTGGCTTTAGAATTATATTGTTAAAAAATCAAATAAAACAAAAAAGACAACTTAAGATATATATGATTTTACCTGAATTTTGTGATTTTTCAGTTTTGGATGATCAAAAGCTGGTTGATTTAAAATATGCACGTAGTCGATTATGTCACCATCAGGGCTCTGTTTTTTACAATACCAAATGTTAATCCAAATATACTAGTAAATTATAATTAAAACCCATAAATAACTTTTCACATGAATGTCTTCTTCTTTCTTCACTTCGAACATTGTAAACATGGATAGAAAAGACCCAAACTAACTTTCTACAAATATAGTTTTCACAAAAAAAAAAAGAAAAAAATACTTTTAAGAAATTATATATTTTAAACATAAACTAATCAAGTTTTAGAAGCCAAACACACACAGATCTAGAGTAGAAGTTAAAAAAAGGTTGAATAGTGTTGAAGTTTTCTTTTATGTAGAAACATTTGAATTAAAATGTTAGTCATAATCAAAACTAGTTGAAGACGTTAAATTGTATACCTTAATAGACTTAACAGCTGGTTTATTCAACTTCTTCAAAAGCTTCTCAACCTCATGTTCCTTACCAGATCCACCATCGCCAATGGCAGCCATGGCAAGCACCAAAGACAAGAAGAAGCAGAACACCACACTCACTATCCAAGCGATCTTTTCATTTCCTAGTTTCGCCATTGAAGCTGCGAAATAGGAAGCAATTAAGCATCTAAACGAAAGTTCTCAAGTGGATATTCATCAAGACTAGATCGTTCACAAATTTATAGGACCATTATACTTTTCGGAAATTACTTGATTATCCTTTTTCCGGAAATTGCTTGTCTATTGTCTGCCTTTACTGTCGTGGACCACCATAAATATTTTGGACCATTTGTGGAATCAACTATGGAAAAGCAAAACTTAATAATTCGAGTTTTTTCCCAGCAAATCCATATAGCGATAGCTTTTACCTCTAGCACTTGTCTTCTCACAACAACATTTTTTGCCTCTTCCAACACTTTGATTTGCAACAATTGTAAAAGTATTGCCTAATGTATGAATAAGTAACAGTTTTAATGTGTTACTATTGATTCTCAATTTAAGCAACAAATATTTGGTAACATCTGAAAACTGTATTCAAAAGTTGAATAGGTAACAATTTTCAACTATTGCAATAAAATTCTAAAATAAGCAACAGACAAGCTATTGCTTATAAATCTTTTTTTATTGCAACATTTGAAAACTATTACCGATTTCAAGAGGCAACAAAAAATAATTGTTGTCTTTAAAGCATTTAAAAATTTTTATCCATGGTTTACCTATATAAAAATAACTATTTACTTTCATTTTTTATCCATTTTTTAACATATTCTTATTATTTTATTTATTATTTAATTAATTAAATATTTTATTTATTAAATTAATTCAAAATTTACTTTAAAAATTATCTCTATATATAATATTTGTAATAGATAACATAATATTCCCTCTATTTCTATATAAAAGAAAAAAATGTATCACACAGTTTAAAAAAGTTAATTAACCATAATAATTATGTTTGAAAATAAAAAATTAGATTAAAATGCCCTATGTTAATCAATATAAGCATGCATCAATTATTTCTCATTAATATAAATTATGAGGAGAAATTTAGAAAATGTGTAATAATACTTATTGAACTATATGATTTTACTTATATAAAAAAATAAGTAAAAGTGATAATTTCTCTTATAAATAAAAACGAAGTAGTAGTAATGTTGGAAGAGTGGTTAGAAGTTTGACTTATATTTAAGAGGTTCAAGGTTCAAAATTCTAAGTAGGAAAAGAAATATTAAATGTTACCCAAAATTTAGAAAACCATTGCCTTAAATAATAGGTAATGCTCATTACTACAAAAAAAAAAGTTTTACAAGAGTGCCCATATCAGATTGCTTATATAAAAAAACTTCAAAAAATATAAACAGAGTCTATTAGAGCGCTTCTAACAAAAAGCACTCTAGAAGACATTACTTATAGAAGCGCTTATTGTAAAAGCACTCTAGAAGATTTCACCTATAGGAGCACTTCCGAAAAAAGCATTCTTATAGGTACGCTTCTCATAAGCGCTCCAATAGAGTATATTTTAAAAGATTAAAGAAAATTCACTACATATAACAGTATTTAATCTCATAAATTGGAAAAAATTAAGGAAAAATATTTTGGATTCTTATACTTTCCTCATGTTTTGCTATTGATCCCTACACTTTTTTTAATATTTTAAGTCCCTATACTTTTATTTTTCAATGTTTTAAGTCTCTTTAAAGTCCCTTACACTTTATTCATGGAAGGACTTAAAATATTAAGAAACAAAAATGTAGAGACCTAAAACACTCAAAAAAAATACAGAGATCAATAGCAAAATATGAATAAAGTGTAAAGACCCAAAGTTATATTTTTTTTCAAAAATTAATTACATAGTGATTGATATAAATGAAAAATTAAAAAAATACTTTCAAAATAATTAAATTAATGAATTACATATGTTAAAGTGAAATAATAAATTAATATCATGATAATTAATTGGTAAAAATAATTATAACTGTCGATCAAGTTAGATGAAATAATAAGGTTTTAGTAAAAAAAAAATCACAGTTGAAAGAATAATTAAATGTATTTTTAATTAAATTAATAAAAAAATTTATTATAAATTAAATTAAAAGAAATAAAAAAATTAATGTATGGAAGCACTCTCTGGAAAGGGGCCCCCATATGTTACGGTATTAGAGCGCTTTCTTCTAGGCACTCCAATTCCAAAGTTCTATGAGAGCGCTTTTTAAAGAAAGTGCTCCCATAAGTCTTAATTGAAAAAATAAAAAATAAAGACAAGGGACTTCTTTGGCGTTCTTGTCTTCTCCTCTCTTTCGGATCTGTAACTCTACTGAATGTAAGCTTTAAGATCCGTGCATCCTCTGCTGCTTCGGTTGAGTCCATTTAAGCAATGGAGTCCATTTTTGAATCTGTCGATGCTCATCTACATCTTTTCATGACATATCCATGAATCTGATATATTAATTAAAAGTTAAAACCCCGTGCGTCTTTTTTATTATGTATTTCATAAAGCAGTAATATAGTGAACAATGAACACTCTTTAAGTCTCAAAGCAGAATCTAGTACTGTTCTGTATCGTGATGAAGCCGTTTGAATTAGAGGCATTATCTGAAGAGTAACGCGTTTGCATAGTCTCTAGTTTATGAGTTTCTATGTATATGTTAACATTAGTTATGGGAACTCTTCGTAGACCTTGATTATGAAAAAATTAAAATTAAATAATTACTATTTTAGATCATTTTTTAGTAATTGCTTTGAGCTTAATCTGTATGAAAAGGGCCATTAAATTATATATATATATATATAGTTCTATAATGGCATAGATCGTAACATTGGATATATCGCAGATAATACTTCAACACTGCAGGAATATAATTGCCTAATGTGCTGAGAAAAAGATTTGGATACATGATCTGCATTTAATTTCTCTGCATTTTCGGATGAGTCTTCTCTTAATGTCTCTTCACGCATCCACTTTTGGACATGTCATTATATTTTAATTGTCTGCTTCTCTCTATATTGTAAACAATTTGAGCTTCGCTGGTAAAAAAAAAAAACAATTTGGGCTTATTTGGGCTTGAAAATATGTAGCAAACAATTTTTTATGTAATATTTGACATTATATACTTCAATTTTTCATTTTTTAATATTATATTTTTATATTTTTGCTTTGCTGCGTTAAGAGTACCCTTTTTGCTCTCCACCTCCCTCGGGCTGTTCATCTTGACCTTGAATCACCGTTGGAGGAAAGGTTGGAGCTGGCTTCTAGAATTGAAAACTGAAGCACCCTCTGTTTGCTAAAGTTGGAAATGTTTTTTCTTTTTTATGATAAAAACGGTTAATATGGTTATAGAGGACCAACCATGGTATCTAACACCTTTCATGCTTGTGACATTCACCTTGAGCGATGTAAATATATATAGGGATTAGTTTCTTAATCTCAGTGTTTCAAACTATCGTCTTGTGACTCAAGATGATTAGCTTCTCATCTTGTGCTTGTTTAAACATTAAGTATATACACTAATCCTTGACTGACTTTAGCATTAAGATTTATTCATCTCTGTGAACTAATTTCATTAGATCAAATTGCATTCAAAATAAATTTATGATTTGCTTGTTTCTCTAATTTGGTAGACACTTACTTATCGCCTTTGGTGGACTTGTTGTTGCTGGGTTAAAAAAAATACATTGAAGAACATGATGCACTAAAAGTATTCTTTTGTTCAATAACTTATATCTATGTTGCACTTGTGGTTCCCTTTTAATTGTCGAATATAGATGTAAAAATTTTTTAGATTTTAAATATTAATTTGAGAGAAACAATCAGTATCAAGACATAGGAGTTTTCGCTCATATTAAAGTTAGAAGATTTTGTATATTGGCATGCAAAGAAGATTTTAGTTTTTATAGTGTAAATGGTGGTAAGGATTTCTTGCAATGGTTTTTATAACATTATATGATGAACCAACGTTGTTCTCATTTATTCATCTACAGGTTTATGTTCTTTATAGCATTACATTTTTTTTGTTTCCTACCTTTTTTGGGATAATGTTATCTAATTTTTTTTTTGTATATTTTTTGTAGGGTGGCGTTATGGTAGAAGACGCCTTTTTTCTTTGTTTTAGACAATACTTTTGTTTTTATAGTGTAATATTTAAAAGATTAGATTAAAAATCTTTGTGCTAAATTTTTGGTTAGAGTAGCTAATTGAGATTGAAGGTACCAAGCTTATAAAAACATTGTTTGTTTTAATTTTAAATGAAAGTATGTTCTTTAATCATTTATGTTGTCAATTTTAGAATATTGTATATAAATTTATGTAACATGTAGTATTGTCAAAAAAGAAATATTTTTTCAAAAACAATTGAGGACAACATAGCTCTTACATAAAAGCACTCCTATTTGTGGACCTATCGAAGCGCCTCTACTTAAAAACACTCCTGTAAGCTTCTAAAGTCTTCTCATAGGAAGTGCCTACAGTAGTGCTTTTTGGGGAGTGTTCCGGTAGACCACCTATATGAGAGCACTTTTGAAAGCACTCTTGTATATACAAGTGCATTGGCTACAATAAAGTACTCTCATAAGTCAACAGTTAGCGCTTCCAAATACCTTTTGTAGTAATGGCTGAAATATACAATGATTAAAAAATGTTGCCTAAAGTTAAGGACAATAGTTTTTCATAATTATAGCAACAATTTTAAAACTGTTATATAAAATAAAAATTTTGTAGAATCATCACGCATTTGAGTAATACAATTCAACATACAAATATTTTAAATTGTTGTCATTTGTTTAAATTAACTGACTTTGACTATTTCTAAAAAAGCATCTTAATTCCCCTTATAGAATTAAGGAGACATTAATCATTTTGACCTTATAATTTTTATTCAGCTAAAATATAGGCATTAACTATGACTTGATGCAATCTAATTCTTATAATTTTGATTCAATTAAAACTTAATTCTTGAATTTTAATTCAATGCAATTCAATTCCTATAATTTATAAAAATTATATATTTAAAATATTATTTTTTATATTTTAAAAATAAAATTATTAGGACTAAAGTTATTTCTTCAAACTTGGAAAATAATATTTTAAATTGCTAAAACTA